CCGTAATATATGTAAATCGTGGTTATTTGCAATAGGAATAGGTATGTAGTCGCTTATCTAAACGCCTGTAGAAATCTTTACATAATTACGGATGATGTGATATATTTTGAAATTTTGAAAAATCCGAGAATATATATAAAAGCTTAAGTTTAAATATAGTTTAGTTTAGTTTAAACATATCTATCTTTCACATCATTGTTGAAGTATCTACATTAACTATAATATCTATAGATAATCTATCATTTATCTATATAACTTCAATGAGATCGTCTGCAACACTTAAGATGACTACTCACACTGTGTGACTAATTTGATACTTGCAACAAACACTACACTTTCGGATTGATTCGGCAAACATTTAGCAAACACAATTGCGAACATTAACAAAAAAAGTTTCCCGCGATGAATATTCAGACACACGAGTTACTAGTAGTCACAAGTTGCGTAACACTGGTGGCGAGGGAAACTATCCGCATACTAATTCGATTTTGTTTTGCACGTTCGAGACGGGATTCTAATCCGACGTGGCGGTTATAAGGTGCAAGTGAAATTGCCCGTGTAATGGACTGATTTTCATTTACATATCAGACAGAGGTATCACAGAGTACAAAAGAAGTGGCCGAGCTAAGCGAAGAAATCACGGCGGTGCTCTCGTGTTTTATGAGGCAGCGGCCGGAAATGAAAAATTGATGGGAATAATAGAGGGACGTTATAATATGAGCTATCTTTTATTATGTGTCTAATAATTAATTGCATTAACCACCGCGGCGAAAGCTATTGTTCTACCTTGCGTGAAGTCTAGATGACAGAGCGCAATCGCCGGCGTAGTTTTGAGGCACGGTTCCCCGCGTTTCCGCTCTACTTTCCTCGCTAATATAAAACTTTAAAAAACTTGTCATCGATCGGTATATCTATAGTTTTCCAGCGCGTTGAAAGGGATCGTGCGATCGATCAGCAGCCGCTTGATACGAGACCGTGTCGTGAAAGCATGAGAAGAACATTGAATTTTAAATGCGCGGTTTATTAATAACAGAGAAAACAGGCGGTTTAATTGCAGTCGAGAATATCGTTGTTTAATGGAGAATTACCTATCCGTTTGTAACAGAACAATGCACCGATTAGGATACAAGTCGATGCATCTTGAAAAAGATCATCCGAAAGTTTTTAACTTCTTGTTGTAGTCAATGCGAAGTTTGAAACTCGCGTTTCTAGGAATTCCCAAGGGAAAAGGGAAATTACATTCGTCGAGTGGAAGAAAAGATATAAATTGTTATTATACGTGTGTGTGAATATTAAATATTTCCAAGTTATTCTTGTTCCACCGTGATGGAAACGACACACACATTTATATACAGAATATAATGCAATAAAATGAAGTTGTAAAGCAATAACTTAACAGTGCGCTTTCTTCATTTTCAACATGCTTCACCATTCGATTTTATCTAATCCATGTGGAGTGGACATTTTTGGCATAATTTCAGAGCAGTGAAACGCAGTGGCATCCGACACGGTGCGCAGAGATGCACATAACGGATGAACGGCGTTTACAAAAGTCGACGTAATAGGTTATCTTCGTGTACTAGAACGGATAACTGGACACTCGTTTCCTCCCGAAGGTACGCCATTTACGGAAAATCGCCACTCTTCCTGGTAGTATCTGTAAATGGTATTATCGTGATTAGAGGCTTACTACTTGTGCAATACAATCCTAATCTAAACGAGGATCATTGCCATTAGTATCCTCGTGTGTTTGCATGTTCAATAAACAGCGATGAATTTAGCAACTCGTGCCTGAAATCGGTTGACCTGATATTCCGCTGAAATATCTTTAATAAGAACTTTTTACCATTTCATTAACGAGGTCCCTTTACAACGACGCCACTTACGATGGCTCTATTTTATGGTTATTGTCCCCGTTAAAAGCGACGATTAGTTCCCCTGAAGTCGTTAGCTCGTTTTCTGTTGTTGCCATATCCCTCAAGCAATGACGTCAAGTAAATGACATGAATTCAAATGGAACGTAAATATTTCTACGTATTGTTCTTCAGTCACTTCATACTTTTGCATTTCTTTTATATATATTTTTTTATATAGATTATTAGAAGATTAGCTTAGGTGCTTGATGATAAATTCTCGAGAACACTAACACATCGAATTGATACAATTCGACGCGATCTCGAACCACAGATTAAGATCTGACACCGTTACACGCGTTAACGAATTTAATTATCGTGATCAATACGACGGCCATTCACATATAGGTGTAATATAAAATTGATTTATTACTGAGAGCAATTACCACCGTGCAAAGCTGTGTCATTGCAGGCATAAATCTGTAGGTACCTGACAGCCTGTGGACATTAATTCTTTGCGTGAAATCGCGCAATATTTTACTCGAAATCTCACGCGAACAATGCGGCAATCGTACGGTATTGATGAAGAAAAAGGAAGGAAACGTTCCTTCGTCGGATTGTGGAGGAAGAAATTTAATAAGATAAATTAACGAGGCTTGTTAAGTACAACAAAATCAGCTGGATACTTGAGACGGGAAATAATAACGTACAATAAATAAATAAAATAAGATTAGAACAATCTGACAACAGATTTAAAGCAGTTGATATTTTGATCTTCGTGCGGAGATGTAAGGCTTCATTTGTGGCGGAAGTTGGTGCTCCGCAATGAAATCACGAGGTTCTGCGTGAGGTTATCAATAGTGGTAAAAATTACCGATGATGTGATGTTACTATGAACACAACGAGGAAAATGTCTATCTAAAGAAGCAATGCCATATAAAGCGTTTATACTTGATGCAACAAAGTTTACTGCTAATGAATCACGAAACGTGAATCCAGTTCGACGAGTCCAACGGAGAAAAGAAGATAAAGCATGCATCGGTCTATGTTCGTAAAATAATCGTTATGAATAACGTATGATTAATATTGGAACATGCTGCATGCAGGCAGCAGACTTTCACAATTGCTGTTCTAACGGGATTCGAAATTTCAATCAATTTTATTTCGTTATTAGAAAAATTGCGTGGAGAACGCGAATAACTCGTCTTATAACACAAACAAGCGACCGTCGATTAATCACGTTTATCGTCCTCCATTTTCTATAATCGTTTCCCCTTTCTACCAAATTTCACGAAATCCTGTTTTCAAATCAACTTTCAGGGAAACTGCGTGTTATCTATCTTGTCCTCCTTGCTTCATACGTCCTGTCTAATATTTTCTCGTTGTCGTTTGCTTAAAGGATTTAAATGAAAATTTGTCCTCCGTTTTGCGACACTTGATCTTTTACCCAACGTTTAATCCAGAAACCAAAATCGAAAAGATGGTTCATGGACCTGATGTGAAATTGGCTCAAGTTGCTAATCCATGAAAAACCAAAGAAAAAAAAAAAAAAAAAAAAAAAAA